TATTTAAAGTACGGTTCATGGATCAGCAGCATAGAGAGCGCTCGGGAGCTTTTGAGAAATGTGGAATTGCAAGCCCCATCCTCCTGCAATTGAACCAGATCCTCCAGGTAGTTCATAAGCATGTTACGTTTTGAGGAACACTGATTCTAGTCCTCTGGATTTTTTTAAATTCCTAATGTGCTCCCAGGTGGTGCCAATACTACCCATCTATCGACTGCACCTTGAATCGCGAGGTTCTAGAGAAGTCACTGGTTTTCCACCCTGGCTGCACATGAAAATCACCTGAGGAATTTCAAAACTGCATGATGCCCAAGTCTCTCCCACAGAGATTCTGAGTTAACAGGTCTGGCGGGGCTCAGACATGGGGCTCCCGGACGATTCTAACAAGCCACCTGTGATGAGGTCCACTTACCTAAACTAACCCTACATTGTATAATAATTAAAACTCCAAACTGACATTAGAATAGGGCTTGGTGGGTTCCTGACATTATCTCCTTTGGGAGTCCTCAAAACAACTCTGTAAGGTAGGTAGAGCAGACACCGTTATACCTGTTGAACAGATGAAAAAACTGAGGACTCAAATTAGCTGAGAGCTGCTTTCACTACACTGACTTCCAGAGCAGCCAAATCACTGCTGTTTCCCCAGCTGAGAACAGAGGCAAGTTGAGGTCTAAAATTCACGCAGTGTCCAATGTTTCCCATTGTGAGTCTACAGGAAAAGCCCAAAAGCATTTTAAAGGATAAATCATCAATTCCAATCTCTTAATGTTATATATGGGGAAACTGAGGCCCAGAGATTTGTCTCAAATCACAAGATTTTAGCCAAAATGAAAACTGAAATCTCCATACTCCCAGTTCAGTATGTTTCCTGCTAAACTGCATTTCCCAAGTGCGACCCATGGATTCCACGGGATGCTAATGGATGTTCCTCTGAAAAAGCTTAGATTCACTAAGCCACCTCTGGGTTAAACCAAATTAAACAGTGTCTTTGATAACGATGGGGAAAAGGATCATTAGGACCGTGAAGCATCTACGACAGCCAGCTCAAGGCCGCGGAAGCATTGCCTCATCGTTTTATTCCACCTTGTCCCTTGATAGATCAGGCTTCAGAGCCACACCTTCTTGCCAGATTGCTACTTTGTAATGAACATTCCCCTGTGTCAGGCACTGTGTGACACTCTAAACGTGGATTATCTTGTTTAATCCTTAAAACAATCCTATGCGGTAAGGACTCAGTATTTCCACCTTAAAATTTAAAAATCTGAGCCTTAAAGAGGTTAAGCAACATGTCCAAAGTCATACGGTAAGTAATGGAACTAGGTTTTGAACCTGAAGCTGCCCAGTGCCAGATTCAGTTGCACGATTATGAGATGATGTTGTCACCGTAAATGATCTTCTTTTCCATTTCTCAAAGTGTTTATTCTGTTTATCACAGAAAGTGAGAGAGAGAAAGAGAAAGAGAGAGAGAGGTTTTTAAGGATTGTGGGGGCTAGCAAGTCTGAAATGTGAGTGCAGGCCAGCAGGCTGGACATTTCAGCAGGAGTCAGTGTTGTAGTCTTGAATCCCAAGAGGCAGAATTCTAGAGGCAGAATTCCTTCTTCTGGGGACCTCAGTCTTTTCCCTTAAGGCCTTCAACTGATTGGAGAGTCCCACCCCTGTTATGGAGGATAATCTGCTGTACTCAAAGTCTACTGATTTAAATATTAGTCACATCTAAAAAACACCTTCATGGGGCCGGCCCCGTGGCTTAGGGGTTAAGTGTGTGCCTTCTGCTGCTGGTGGCCCGGATTCGGATCCCGGGCGTGCACCGACGCACCGCTTCTCCGGCCATGCTGAGGCCGCGTCCCACATACAGCAACTAGAAGGATGTGCAGCTATGACATACAACTATCTACTGGGGCTTTGGGGGGAAAATAAATAAATAAATAAATAAAAAACACCTTCACAGCAGCATCTATACTCAGGTGTTTGACCAAACAACTTGATACCAGAGCCTAGCTAAGTTGACACATAAAATTAACCATCACACTATGTAATATACAAGATCATAAAAACGTAGATATCTTAGATTCCGTAGTCCAATTTCCTTATCCTATTTTTGCAAATGAGGAAAAAGGTCAGAGAGGATAAACCAACAGTTATACACATGCTTTCACAGGAGAACTTGCACACCCAAATTCCCAAAATCTTTCATAAATTGCTCACTAACTTCTAATAAAATTAAGTGGAAAAATTAAATCCTCTCCAAACACCATTTATTTCTATTTTGGAGACTTGATTAGAAAAATTCAGCAAGCAGTCTGTCCACTTTATTACCCTTCTCCAGACTAATGATCCCCACAGCCTGGATGTCGGGACACCTTCAGAGCAGTTGGGAAGTCTGGAAATAGCTGACACAGTTCTCCCAGAAAGCAGACTTTTCTCTCAAGTCTGCTCCTGTCCCTCCTACCTCACCCCCTCAACCTCTCTAGTCTTACCTGTCACTTCTCAGGCTTCCTCCAACTTGATGCCTCCTTTTGCCTCTGGGCTTACAACCAAGCTCTTCCCCTCTGAGGCTGAAACACTCTTTCCCGAGCCCACCCCCACACCCGCCTTTTGCCCAGCTAAAGCCCATTCCCACTTCAAGTCTTGGCTTAGACATCTCTTCCTCAGGAAGTCTTTCTACTACCCGCACTGGACAGGCTTAGATGTCTTTTTCATGTGCCCCTATGGCATGCAGTATCGACCCCCTGATATTTACTACTTGTTTATTTATCTATATCCCCACTAGTGTCTTGTTCCATGGTATCCCTAGCATTAGAGTCTGTCACATAAAAGACATTCGATAAATATTTTGGGGAGGAAAGAAGGAACGAAGGAGAAAGGAAGGAATCTCTGTAGGCCCTTTCTTGCACTGTGTGACTTAGATCTGATAACTAGAAACAGTCTGCTACAGAATTTGCCCAGAGAATTGTAGGGTGTAGAGTAACTTTGGTCTTTTCACGTGCTGGGGAGTCTCTGTCTACTGACTTGGCATCCTGGGGATTTGCTTTGCGTCTTTGGACGTTGATAACACCAAGGAGTTATGGGTATAAGAAAGCAGGAGGCTGGACCAGGGTGGTAGCAGCAGGAATGGAAAGGGACACGTAAGAGGGATATTTCATGGGTAACTTGCTCTGCATTCATTAGGCTGTGAAGGAGAAGGGTGCGAGATCAGGAAGTCAGGAGAATCTGGTTTCTGGTAGAAGACATTATCAATTCAATTCCATATTGAATTTGAGGCATTAAAAAAAACATCTAAAAATACAGTTGAAATACAAAACAAAGCCAAGAAAATCTATAGCTCTTCACAACTTTGTCATCTTTACACCAATTTCTGTTATCTAAGAAGGTCAAGATGGGCCTAGGCAAAGCAGCTGTTGCCCACATGGTGTGCTCTGAGGGTCACCACAGGCTCTTCTCCCTCACTATCTATCATCACGTCATGGTGCCCGGAATTTTGTAATTAAAATGGTTTTTTCATATATCATCAAAAGTACATTGCATGCACATGTTACATCTCTGGAAGAAAAGAAAAGAAATGGTAACACCGGTTACCTCTGGAAAAGGGGGATTCGGAGCTTGGAGACCAGAGGTGAGAGGGAGATCTATCTTTTACCATTTACACTTTTGTACCCATTTTCCTCATGCACATAGATTTTTAATGTAAAAAAGGAAAATTTGGGCCGGCCCAGTGGCGTATGGGTTAAGTGCGCGCGCTCTGCTGCGGCGGCCTGGGGTCCACGAGTTGGGATCCTGGGTGCACGCCGACATACCCGTTGTCAAGCCATGCTGTGGCGGCGTCCCATATAAAGTGAAGGAAGATGGGCACAGATGTTAGCCCAGGGTCAGCCTTCCTCAGCAAAAAGAAGAGGATTGGCAACAGATGTTAGCTCAGGGCGGGTCCTCCTCACTAAATAAATAAATAAATAAGGAAAATTTTCTTTTATTTTCAAAAGTTGAAATTTGTCAATGGGGGCTTGATTAAATAAATTATAGTAAATCCATTAAGTAGGATAATGTGCAGTCATTAAAATGAAAAAAGATAGCTTTGATCCGAAAGATGTACTGATACAAAAGATGTCCACAATGATTTGTTAAATAAAAAACAAAATTCAGAGTGTAAACATTAAAAATTTACCCTTAAAAATAATAGAATTTAAATAGTAGTATATGCATAGGAAAAAGCTGTCAAAATACACATTGAACTGTTAGCACTGACTTCTGCAAGATGGAATTAGAGAAGACTTTTGTTTTCTAAGTTCCACATTTTGACATTGCTTGAACTTTTACAAGAAGCATATTACTTTATAATCAGAAAAAAAGATAATTTACAATATTTTTATGACATTGCAAATAGCTCAAGAATGGAGGGAGGGTCATCATGCTCAGCAGCTGGGGCAAATTTCAAACTCTGCAGATGAAAACCAGGTACGCACTGGGAGTTTGTGCCTTAAGTCAGGGAGGTGTCATAATACTCTCTTGGCTCACAACATTGCCTTGATAATGTTAAATAATTGAATTTATCATTAAACTCGATAATGTTTAATAATTGGACTATAGAGTAGATACAACTTGTCTTTTTGTTTCTGCCCTTCAGGCCATTGCAATCTAAGGTAACAGCATCACCTGCTTTCTTCCCTTTACTGCTCCCCAACAATCCACTTCTTTTCTTTCCTTTTCCTTCTGTCTCCTCATCTTCCCAGCCCTCTTTTTTTTCCTTCTTTTTTTAAATTGCCTATTGGAACCACAAGATGGCAGCAGCCTCATGTACAAGAAAGACTCTCAGGCATTGGTAATCATCAAAAGCAGAGGAATGATGCCTTCATAAAAATATTATCACAACTTCAGAGATTTCAGCATCTTGCTCTGAATATGTGTGTGACCACATTTAATATTCTGTTAAAAATTATAAACAATGAGTGGGAAAGAAATTCACGCTGGAGTGGAGCTAATGTGTTTCCCTCTCTTCCAGGTGCTGACAAAGAAGAGGTGAGGCAGAAGAGAGAACAGTCTAGAACCTGTCTTAATCCTAATGTAAATTCTTGCACCAGGATGGAAGGGGAATCTTACCACAATGCCACCACTGTCAATGGCACCCCAGTAGATCACCAGCCTTTGGAACGCCATGGGCTGTGGGAAGTCATCACCATCGCATCTGTGACTGCTGTCGTAAGCCTGATCACCATCGTAGGCAACGTCTTAGTCATGGTTTCCTTCAAAGTCAATAGTCAGCTGAAGACCGTTAACAACTATTACCTGCTCAGCTTAGCCTGTGCAGATCTCATCATTGGGATCTTTTCCATGAACCTCTACACTACCTACATCCTCATGGGGCGCTGGGCCCTCGGGAGTCTGGCTTGTGACCTTTGGCTTGCACTGGACTATGTGGCCAGCAATGCTTCCGTCATGAACCTTCTGGTGATCAGTTTTGACCGTTACTTTTCTATCACAAGACCTCTGACATATCGGGCCAAGCGTACCCCAAAAAGGGCTGGCATCATGATTGGCTTGGCCTGGCTGATCTCCTTCATCCTCTGGGCGCCAGCTATCCTCTGCTGGCAGTACTTGGTTGGAGAGCGGACGGTACCACCAGATGAGTGCCAGATCCAGTTCCTCTCTGAGCCCACCATCACTTTTGGCACTGCCATTGCTGCCTTCTACATCCCTGTCTCTGTCATGACCATCATCTACTGCCGAATCTACCGGGAAACAGAGAAGCGAACCAAGGACCTGGCTGATCTCCAGGGCTCTGACTCTGTGGCTGAAGCTGACAAGAGAAAGCCAGCTCACAAGGCTCTGCTCAGGTCCTGCTTTAGCTGCCCTCGCCCCACACTGGCCCAGAGGGAAAGGAACCAAGCCTCCTGGTCATCCTCCCGCAGGAGCACGTCCACCACTGGGAAGCCATCCCAAGCCACTGGCCCAAGCACTGAGTGGGCCAAAGCCGAGCAGCTCACTACCTGTAGCAGCTACCCCTCCTCAGAGGATGAGGACAAGCCCACCACTGACCCTGTCTTCCAAGTGGTCTACAAGAGTCAGGCCAAGGAAAGCCCAAGGGAAGAATTCAGTGCTGAAGAGACCAAGGAAACTTTTGTGAAAGCTGAAACTGAAAAAAATGACTATGACACCCCAAAATACTTCCTGTCTCCAGCTGCTGCCCATAGACCCAAGAGTCAGAAATGTGTGGCCTATAAGTTCCGATTGGTGGTAAAAGCTGATGGGACTCAGGAGACCAACAACGGCTGTCACAAGGTGAAAATCATGCCCTGCTCCTTCCCAGTATCCAAGGACCTTTCCACAAAAGGCCTCGATCCCAACCTCAGCCATCAAATGACCAAACGGAAGAGAATGGTCCTGGTCAAGGAGAGGAAAGCAGCCCAGACCTTGAGTGCCATCCTTCTGGCCTTCATCATCACATGGACTCCTTACAACATCATGGTCCTGGTTTCCACCTTCTGCGACAAGTGTGTCCCCGTCACCCTGTGGCACCTGGGATACTGGTTGTGCTACGTCAATAGCACTGTCAACCCCATTTGCTATGCCCTCTGCAACAGAACCTTCAGGAAGACCTTTAAGATGCTGCTTCTCTGTCGATGGAAAAAGAAAAAAGTGGAAGAGAAGTTGTACTGGCCAGGGAACAGCAAGCTCCCCTGAAAAGCTAACTCCCCTCACAAGAATGGCCATGATCAAGTTCCTCTGACGATGGCTGAGCTGATTCTGGTTTGTTAATTTTCAAAAAAGACATCTGTCATTTTGAGCCCCCGGGGACTTTTTAAAGGCTCAAGATCCGTCACCAAAAGGAAGGAGTCACAGCTGTCACAATTGCTGCCATACTGAATGATTCTTGTCTATGACCAAGGTCACCTGATGCTACTGGAGTTTGCCATTGAAGTAAAGAGACAGACTCATGGCCTGCACAAAAGGAGACATGCTGCGTCACAATGAGCAGTGACTGACAAGTTTTGTCTAACCTTCTGTGAGGAGCAGCAGGGACCGGGTGGAAACTTGCCCCTGTGGCAACCTGTCATAGAGTTTTGTGTAGTATATATGTGTTTACGAAGTTGTCTCATACCAGTGAGAATCAGTCAGTGTCATGTGTTAACATGAGTGATATTCAACTGGCTTCTAAGACTCTCTTTATAAACTGATCAGTATTTATTATGCAGCTATTACGTGTCCTGTACTGTGGTATGTTTTCCTGTCCCTACATCTGAGCAAAGCTCTTGTTCTTCCCTTTCACAACCAATGCCAATTCCTGGTACCCTCCAAAATCATGCTGGTCCCCATGGAACCATCCCTCCTCCCACAATCCTGGGTCTGGAAGGACACTGAAACCTGAGATGGGACACTGAGTCCTAGAGAGGGGCCTCTATTCTGCTAATAAAGATCATCAAGTCTCCACAGTCTTTTAGTTTTTACCAGGGGGAGTTTTTTCCTTTTATCCAAACAAATATTGTGTATTCCATTTTGTGCCCATTTGAACCCATTTATTCATGCTCTGTTCTTAGGAAGACTAGCTGTAAAACAGCCCCTCACTGGGTAAAGCTCTTCTCCAGGCTATTTCATCACGGTTCTCTTAAACTGTTTTCAGAGGTCTTTCTAATCGCTGCACAAGGCAACCTGAGGCAAAATGTGGAAAACAGATTTGGTTTCACTCCAGCTTTTGAACTTCTTCCAGGGCCCTTTTGCAGGCCCCAATTTCCCTCATCCAGACCCCAATTCATACCCAGGCACAAGCAGGTCACTGTGCTGCCTCCAGCCAGAAGTGCTATTTGAGGGACAGTGAGGGAAAGGCTTCACTTTTTTTTAATAGGTCCTTCAAATCGTGGCTCGGAAATGAGTTACATGTGCATTCCTCTCCAAATGCACGGTCAAAGATGAGAAGCCCAGAAAAGGGACAGTTGAGGTCCAGTGAAGCTGGCTGTGGTCATTCAAAATGAAAGCCTCATCTTTAAAAACAAAATGTAGGCCACAATAATGTATAAAAACAAAATTTATCGACATACATTAGAGTATCAGAATTGTTAAAAACCAAATTTAATTGAAATCTCTGTGTATATAAACAAACTGAATTGGTTTCTTTGATAATTCTGAAAATAAACAAATGTGCAAGAAATTGAAACTATAAAACAGCGCATAAAATTAAAGAAGGATCCACAAAGAAAATGGCAGTGCAGTATATGGTGAGGATTTAAAGATGAAGCACTCCTGTCAGACAGAAGCTCTTTGAGGACATCTGCAGTTGTGTTTACAAATCTCCAGACTTCATTCGCTTCACGTAGGCCAATTCTTTTTCAGCCTCTCTTGCTAAGGGGATATAAAAAGAGCTGGGTTAGTTGTCCTGGGAATTAGGTATGTACTCAAGTATGGGAGAGCTTCAACCTACCACTGAGGAGCAAGTCTGCCTCTCATGCCAAGTCCCAAGGAGGCTCCGGGCAGTAGAAACCCAGGCCTCTCCTCCAGCCCTGCAGGGACTTGATGTTGCAATGTAACATCTTAGAAGCAGTGTAGTGCTGAGCCTTTGAGAAGGGCAGGTTGACACTTGCCAAGAATTGGTAGAAAATATTAATGAATTGGCTCCGTTCTCCAGGACAGAGGCTCCCAGGCTTACCTGATGCCAACAGGGTGTGACTTCATGAGCAAACCTGCTCTGCCAGTCTAGATGAACAGTTGATTCTTTTAGTTTAAGGCTTTGATTCCTGACGAAAATGAAAATCCCTCCAAGAGAATAGCACTTTAAGCCCATATTGGGTATTCACTGTTCACAGTGGAGAGAGAAACAAGCTAATTCAGAAGAAGGTAACGCAGAACTGGGGTGGGGGTCAGTGGGGAGCTGCTGGGGGCAGACTTCTCACACACCACAATTGCCCAGGACTTAGCCTTTTTTGTTCATCTTTTGTGAAATTAATTGAGAGGCCCATGCTTCCTTCTTTATCATTGGCTTTGGGAGGCAGCCAGTTTTGTAGACTACCTATGCCACTTGACACAGACAAAAAAAAAATGCCTCAAACTACTAGGGGAAACTATACCTCTTTAGACTAGGGCCTCTGGTGGGGTCCTCAGAGTGAACAGATCCAACTGTAAACTACAGGGACCTGGCGGGTGGGTTGGTGGGTGTGCGCTGACTTCAGATCTCAGGCCTTCTGTGCCCGTCTGCCAAGCTCTGTCTACGGAAAACTATGTACAGCTTTGACTAGTTACCTATTGGACGCTGCTATGTTGCTAATATTGTGGTTTGTTTCTCTATGGCTGTGAATTTGATGGCTTGCCAAGGAATCTGTTTTCAGTACAATTTTTGGTAAAGCATTTTGTCAATATTCTTGGCCTCTGCTTTGCTCCTTTGCTGAATGTCCTTTGAGAGCGATGCTGACGTTTGGCTCTTTGTAATTGTGAAATCTGTATCTAATCTCTGGATTGGAATATCCAGTTGTCTACTGTAAATATTGGAATTACAGCAAAGGATGTGGGGACTGGGCTGCTTTTCTGTATTGTATGAGCATTATTCTGGATATTAAAGAAATTTAACCACACAGTAGTCCAATACGAAGCATTTAAATAAGAAAATGGTCCAGGTTAGCTCTATAGATCCAGCTGTATTGGAGATCCCACTCACATCTGCATGGCCTGGCCTCTTAAGAGGGAGAAGGTATCAACCCACTATACCCTTGTGACTTCCCCCTTTCCTCTCAGTTACCAACAACTAAATTAAGATAAAATAATGATGACAAGATTGCCAACTAAAGTGCTTCCGTTTCCCTCCAGGACAAGGGAGGTGGGCAGACCTCAAACCATGGTCCTGTAGGCGGTACAGACCCCGCAACAAAACAAAATGGCACCATTTCCTCTTCAACTGCCCAAGGAGCTGGGACCCCAGTCATTTCATTCCCATTGTAAGTGATGCTAATTTCCACCTCCCCCATGCCGTTTCATCAGTAAAGTGTGAGATTACATAAATTTTTGCCCAATAAGGACTCCAGACTGAATGGGAGGGGGAAGAGAAATAATTTTTTTAAGTATCAGGGAAGGAGCCAGAAGGAAATTTTTAAAAAACAAAACATTTTTTAAAAAATAATTTTAAACTTAGAGAAAATCTGCAAGAATGGTACAAAGAACTCCATGTCCTTCACCCACATTCCCCAATTGTTAACATTTTGCCACATTTGTGCTGTACGTGTGTGTGTGTGCATGTGTGTATGCCCACACATATATTTTTTCTCCACCATTCGGAGTAAGTTGCAGACATCGTGTCCATTGAACTCTAAATATTTCAGTGGGTGTTTCTTAAGAACAAGGAGATTATATTGCATAACCACAATAATAAATATAAACATCAGGAAATCTAACATTGCTACAATGTGACTATGCAATACATAATTATATAATTATGTAACAGTCCATACTCAAATTTTACCAGTTGTCCGAATGATGTTCACTATAAAAATTTCTTTTCCAGTTCAGAATCTAATCCAGGATCACACATCACATTTAGTTGTCATGTCTCTTTAGACTCCTTTCATCGGGAGGAGGTCCTCAGCTTTCGTCTGTCTTTGATGACATGGTCATTTCTTAAAAGTACATTCAATCCCTGTTTTTTTTATAATTTCCATCAGTTTGGGCTTGTCTGATGTTTCCTCATTAGATTCAGTTTAGTTTGTGTGTTTGATTTGATTTGGGCAGGAATATCACAGATGTGATATTGTGTCATTGGTGCAACACATCGGAGAACATGATGTTTAACCCACCATTGGTGATGTTGACATTGCTCAGTGGGTTAAAATGTTCCCCCCACCTCCCACCCAGGTTTCTCCACTATAAATTTACTATTTTTCCCTCCACCATTAATAATTTTGGGAAAGAGACTTTAAGCCTATGTAAATTTCCTGTGGGCCATCAGGGTTTCATTCAATAATTGTAGCATCTACTTATTATTCTCACTCAAATAAGTTATTACTATGATGACTGCCAACTGGTTGGCATTCAACTGTAAGGAAGATTTTTTCCTTCTTTATATTTATTTATTTGTGTACCTACTTCTTATCATTATGGACTCACAAACTCTTATTTTAATAATTGGTTAAAATCCATTACTGTCATTATGTCAATGCTCAAACTGTCACAAATTTAAGCAGTGAGAGCCCCGTCAAGTTGACTCCTGTGACCCTTTGACATATCCAGAACATTTTTTGAGCACTCCCTTACTTCCTAGTACAAAAGATGTTCCAGGCTCATCTTTACTCTCCCTACCCCAGCCCAGGAGTCAGCCATTTCTTCAAGGAGCCATGGTTTCATTAAGTAGAGAATGGAACCTGACTCAGAATTGGATTCAGAATATACTTACTGCTATCAGGCCCTTTCAGTGCACAGAACTAAGAAATATGTACATGTGTATACTTATTAAAAATAATGAGTTTGTATTGGCATCTGCAATTCCAATCCTATACCACAGGATTCGTCCCATTCCATATTTGTATCTGCCTTCTCCAACAGTGAGAATCATCATTTGCTCATTTGCTCAATTTGCTCAATCCTTCAATAGTTTTAGAATTGCAACACCCACATCGCTGTGAAAAATCAACCTTTTAGTAAAGTTCCATGATTTGTTGCAGTTCTTTTGTCTTAAGATTGAAGGGATATAGTCAAATTACTATGTTCAGTAATTGCTTCTGTTAATGAAGACACCAAGTAGAACAAGTTGAACAACTCTGGAAACATTAAGTAATAATAGACAAAAGACTGACACTTAAATATTCATATTAAAGTCAAAGAGGGCACATCCAGCCGGGTAAATTATCCTCCCAATAAACTGCACTGTCCCCCAACTCCCTTGCTGAATTAATGTGTATGCTGGGGGGAGGGCACACTACAACCTTAAATTTATCTGTGATTAGGTAAAAAAAAGCCAAGGCCTAGCTCTGTTCAGGTTTGACCATCATCTAGAGTTGTCTACATCAGTGTGCCTTATGGCAATCTATTTGTCCAAAAAGTCCTAATCTTCTTATTTTATATGGCCCTTGAACAAGCTTCATACCACCAGATGCCCCCATGAATGCCCTCATGCTTCTGTTAACAGCAGTTCTCCAGTTTTATTTCCCAGTCCTTGGCAATGATTTTCCAGAGAAGTTATCTTGCAAAAATGCATCTGCAGTGGTGTCCTAGTAAATGAATGGGCACTCTTACCTTCAGCAAAGAGTGGCTCACACTCAACCCACTTATCTCCAATAGCACTAGCTGGGGAGCTGGTGCTTATTTTTAGTAGTCCCGCGTATATCCAAAGTTAGGTCTATAGTCCAGCCACTTTCAGTCAAGATCCGTAAAGCCATTGACCATGATATACTAAGCACAGCCCAGTCCTCCTACTGTACCATAGAGGAGACTGTAGTGGGAAACACCAGGCTGGAA